AACAACAAGAAACGTCAAAAATAGGCTTCCACAATTTGCACTTCATCAGACCTAGTTCACAAACTACTTCAGAGACATAAAAATGAAGAATCAGCTAGATTTATTTTAAGAATGTATGTGCTCTTGCATACCATATTTATAAAGAGACTCTGACACAACAAGAAACGTCAAAAATAGGCTTCCACTATCAGCACTTAATCAGATCTAGTTCACAAACAATTCAGAGTTCTTCAAATGAGAACTCAAATGGAGGGTTTACAGCATAACAGAATCAAAAAATGCTGTAAAATCTATGGGAATTATCAACAAGCCAATACAGCAGACTAACCTACTGCTGTGATGATTCCACTAAATAAAACTTGGCGGCGATGCTTCTTCATAATATCCTTACCCCTATCATCTCCGTCTTTCTGTTCTCATGCAGAAAACTATTTTTATTCTTTGATAGTTTTTGCATAAACGAGATTTTCTCCTATAAAAAACAAATCACACCATACCTTTTTGCCTTTGGCACTTGAAATGGGTGCAAGTGTAGGTTCCGGGATGAAATATGAAACAAGAGCAAAGAAGATAACACCCGCAAAAAACTGACAGTCCAGAGATTCGCAATTAAGATCCAAGAACTGTATGTTTCTTCTTTAAGTGGAAAACAGATTGAAAAAGTTCAAAATAAAATTAGGAGATAGCTCACCCAGAGGTTTCCTTTTAAGAAGCCAATGGAGTTTATAGCATTATGAGCCAAGTCAAAGAATGATATGCTAAGCATAAGACCAGCAGCAAACCCCTGCACAACCAAAGAAATTATCTAGGTCTGTACTCTGCTATTGCCTATCTATGTACCTCTTGGATTTAACAGTTGAACATAATGAGTTCTTTTAAGCTTGACAAGCATCAGTAGTTAAAAATCAAATGATCCTTTTCTTCTGCTCAAAATTTAAAATACTCAAGTCGGAAAATATATAAAATAATCGACAGTAAACATCTATCAGACAGCATGCTTAAACAAGCAAGTGACAAACAAACCATGAATCGCTTAAATTAACCATTTTACTTCTGACATTCTTACAAATACGATTAACCATCACCTGTAAAAGTCCTAGCATCTTCAAGTTAGGAGCCTGGCTAATAACCACAAAAAGTGCACCTGATGATAAGAAAAAATAGATCAGATTACTAATCTTTCTTTAGGGAGGACCCTTGTAGCTTCAAACACTCTATAAACTCAAAACACACAAAGGAGATGGAAACAACCACCATAAAGTAATAGCGCCATCAGTCTCCAATGAATATTATACAGTTTTTATGAGCTAAGTGGGACTGTATAAATATTGAAGTTTTAGCAATATGGTTTTCACTATGCTTACAGAAAAGACACATGACTGAGCACAAAAAATGAAAAAGACCACAATTTGACTTCCATTACTCAAAATTTTTTACTTCATCTGTCACAATTTATGTGGTACACTCCGCCTTTTAGTTTATCCAAGAAAATGACTCATATCTATATTTACAAAAAATTTAACTTCTTAAATACCTTATCCATTGCTAGATAAATCTTTATGGCTTAATTAGACCCACAAGTTCCAAAAACAATTCTGTGTTTCTTAAACTCCTCCATCCCCTGGTCAAACAAGGTCACAAAAGTTTTATTTTCCTCTAGCTATGTGATAATTGGGGAAGAAAAACATAAGATTAGAGCACTTTCAGGATCTGATAATTAATCCAATTTTACAAAGTAGAAAATAAGCTATTTCAAACAAAGAAATAAAAAAAGGAACTTTTTACTCACCTAGAGAGGTACTCAATCCACCCAACAATGAAAGACCAAGAGCAACAAGAACTTGAGAATCCATAGAAAACCCTTTTGCTCTGAAACCCCTTTAGCCAAAAACAAAAATTCACAGAAAAAGAAGAAGAGTAAACCCAGAAAAAATCTGGGGGGAATTTCTCTGTAGTTGAAGCAAATGGGTGTTGGAGATTGATGTCAAGAATAAAAAATGTAGGCTCAAGGAAAGAAGAGCTCCCCTAAATATCAAATCTTGGAGAGCCCCAAAGACTCAATAGCCTTCAGGAATGGGGCAGATGAAAGAATGTGTAGAGTCAAAGAAAGAGACAATGGAAACAAAGGGATTCAAGATATTAGAAACTTCTTGCTTTAGGCCATGGAAAGTTCCTAACTTTTTTTTTCCGGGTAAAGGGTCAAATATACCCTGTATGAAATAGTTTAAATATATCCTTATTTATATTTTTGGGCTAAATATATTCATCCCGTTATATTTTCGGGCTAAATATACCATTATGACTAACAAAAGACACATAGACGGCTAAGATTAAAAGAACTATTCAATTTAAAATATATTAAATTTGGATATAATCCGCCCCGCCCAAATAATTTAACCCGACCTAATTTATAACATTGATCCACCTGTATGTGTCAATGGAGGGAAGTGAACGATGAGCTTTTCTATAACATGGACCCACCAGCTGGCTGTATATGATGTTGGCACTGACTGGAGAGCAATTTGGAGATGAAATTTGTGGAACAGTTATTAATGTTCGAGTTAGACAAGAAAAAATAGCTTTATGTATCAAGAATGCTGCCAATGGAACAACTTAGGTGAGCATTGGTAAATAATGGAAAGAGTTTCTGGATTACAATGACACAATTGACTTTATATTTCATGATGATGCAAAGAAGCTTGACAGAGTTGCCAAGAATTGTAGCCGAATTGATTAGGTTGAGTTAAATTATTCGGGGCGGGTTATATTCGAATTTGATTTATTTTAAATTAAATAATTCTTTTAATCTTAGCCGTCCACATGTCCTCTGTTAGTGATAAGGGTATATTTAGTCTGAAAGTATAACTAAGGGTATATTTAAACTATTTCATATAGTACAAGGGTATATTTGACCCTTTGCCCTTTTTTTTCATACTCCAATTTGAGCTCGATTAAATCCAAACTCGCAAAATATTATATTACTAATCAGTATTTTCAAAAACGTTTTTGGGGCGAGTTTCGAGGCGGGCGTACCATAAACGCTCCGGAGCATAAATTAATATTCAGACTTATTATTTCATAATATTTTATTTTGGATGTTTATATTTAGATAGATAATGTACCGTGTTAAAATTTTATTAGAAAAAAGCCTGTGAAAAATAGTTCAATAAAAAAAAACAAGTCACATATCTAGTAATATGCATTATTAATTGCTTCATTAAAAATCTTGCCAAAAAAATCTAACGAAAGAAAAGCTTGACTAAGGAAATACATGTACTATAACACATACTAGTCTAATTAAAATATCGATTAATTTTTCTAGATGATGTTGTCCAATTTTATGTACGAGTTTTTCAAATATTGTTATTAATGGTATTATTTTTGTAAGTATAACAAATATCTTTTGGATATGTCGAATTTTAAGCTCAGTCAAATACACTCATGTTTGCCATTTTGTTCGTCATCTCGTTGTCTCAGTCAAGGTTTTTGTATGACTTGTTCATAATAACAATTAAATAAAACGGACAGTTTCATCGACATGATAACAAAACTTGATTGTCTTGTAGAGTAATATACTATCACAGTATTTTCACATACAAATAGATAATTTTTTTAAATCAAATTTATATAAAGTCAATAATACTTTTTGCACTTTTGTAAATAATAAACTTTGATTAATATCAATATTTTATTCACTTTGATGTCCCATAGTTAATTAAATCTCCTCTTCTTTATCAAAAAAATTATTTTAGAAAGTGATCTATTATACTTTATGTGTGTCATGATTTTCTTCGTTGATTAAAAACTTCTTCTCCTTCTTTTAAACAAAATGGCCAAAGAGGCTAAATTTTATTAATAAAAAAAAGTTCAAAACAAAACAAAACAAAAAAAAGGATAAAAGATTAGCCTTAAACAACTTTAAAAAAACAAACTCGAATACAAAATAACATAAACAAAAGCTAAAGATAAGTAACAAATTACATCCACGTCTCTTAAGAAAGCTTATAGAACTTCTCCGACAAGTGAAAGTGCTAAAGAGAGTTTTTAAGATCCTCTTCTTTGTAACATTGTCTTCTTTATTTTGTCATCTTTTTTATTCCGTGAGAATTTTTAATTTAGAACTATGCTTTGAATCAATTGCATCTCAAGTCGTTTTAATTTCTCACCAAACATTGTGAAATCAAAATCACTGAAGACTATTTACAAACGAAGAGTTATGGTCATCTCAAATACTTCATAATCACTGAGTTAAAGTCTATTACTTGAGGCTTTTTTAGAAAGTTGTAAAAATTGATACTTCTATTGATCATCACAGTGAACCTTAAAAGAGGACAGTAACATTTCCAATAAAATTTTGGTATAAGGATTCTAAAAATTAAAAAAAAAAGGCTTGTATAATCAAGATTATATTTCTGAATTTTTTTATATACTGTAAGTCTGTACTGTTAAAGTACTAAAATTACTATTTTTTATTCTCTCCATCTCTTCCTTGATTCATGTTATCGTTGTGTGTCTGAAGAGTCTTTCATTGCGTCGACGTGGTACTTCTACGCAATAGCTCTGCATATCATTTTATACATTAGCTTCAATTGTAACTATTTTTAACCAAGCAGATAGATGTGTAAAAAGTCCAAAGAATTAGTGTTATTGTTTGTTGTACTCTAGACTTGAATAGACTTTGTAAATAAACCTAGTTTGTTTATTTGATCAGTTTTGTTGGCCTGTGGACTGAGGTGACCATGTCCATGTGTTATACTGATTCATCAGCACTTTTCATTAGTTAAAACTTCCCAAGTTATATATACAAAGCTTAAGCTTGAGAAGATGAAAATTACTACATAGCAACATACCCTGGTAAATAGACGACCAAGAGTAGTTCAAGTGTACTTAAAGCCTACTACAAGGCATGTCAATCTTGCCAACAGCAAACCTTTAGACTGAGCGCTTTAAGTTTATTGCTTTAAGATTTGCAAACTATCAAACTTTACCATAATCTATTTGAGAGAGAGAAGGTAACAACATTACAATTTACAGCAAATTTGGTGTCCCAACCAGTTTCCTTACTATATAAATCTAAGAGTTTTGCCTGAACCATCCGCTTTGAAGATGCAGATTTCCATAATGCTAAGGACATGCTAAATCCAGCTCATCCATCACCTGATACGGTCAAAAGAAGCTAAGTAGATCCTTGTTGACAACAAAGATTAATGCACAACTTATGCTGCGAGATCCGAATGAAATTCTTAAGATCCTTGAGGAACTATTGCTATTTATACAAGTCTCTACCCTCCCAAGATTGTCAAAATGCAACCTCTTCACAAGTGCATTTTAAATAAGATTGCATGATTCCACGTACTGCCTGCCTGCACACACACACACAAAAAAGAAACGAAAAAATAAGTAAATTTCAAATAAAAGAAAAATAACAAAGACCTCAGCTGGTGTTCAAAATGGAAAAACAATGTAAGGGACATGGGCGTGGTAGCTTAGTGCTAAGAACAATCCGAGTTGGAAAATGGAGCAAAGTGGAAATGGGTCACTGCTAAACTCCCAAGGTAAAGTCTGGGGCTTGAAGTTTACTATATCATAAAAAAGGAGGTAGAGCTTTTTTGAGAGCGAAAGACAATCTTTAAAAAGAGAAGATTAGCAGCAGGAAGCCTAAAGAGCTCAGAGTAAGATCCCAACAATGTCAAGAAAACATTTCAAAGCACTATTTGTTGATGTTACTGAACTTGGTGAAAAATCACTTGCCATGAATATTTCCACTGAAGATGCAAAGATTATAAACAGCCCAAGTACTAAGAAAAGACGAGCAAAGTAGAACCAATGAGGCAATATCAAAATCCTACACAGCAAAGGCAAATTAGCCAAGAAAGGAATGACAATTAGCAAACAGATGGCATGATTCTGCATAAGAGGTAATTCAGCCTATCAACTATTTCCATACAATATACCATAGAGAAAAGAAAGTAACAGTAAGGAATTGTAACATATGAGAATGGATATTAAAGTAAGAACCTTCTAGTAAATGGGTAATAAGATACCTATATGATTCAACACTTAATAAACCCTTTTCATACATAATAGGTAATCCAAGCAGCTAGTAATCAATAACAGCAATAAAAGGAATATTTATCTACTCCATATTGAATAACAATTTACATAATAAACAAAAAACCGGGACACATGGTCAAAGTATCCAAGTTCTGAAACATCATTATAAAAAGTAAGAACAGCACATTACCTGAAATACAGGAGAAACACCAGATCAAGCATCAGTAATTGCAGTGGCCATAGTTTAATCATCACCAGCCCCTGTAGCAGACGATAGTTCTTGATCACCATACTCTATAGCAGTTGGCACATCTTCATCACCAGCTAGCTTGATACTGGAGATCTCTTCTTTGCCTGAAGCAGGAAGAAAATTTATTAATTTGGATTGGAAACATTGAAGGTGCTACTACCAGAATTTGGTGATAAACAGTTAAAAACTTCAGATATGAACACCCTATACCTGAAAATACTTCCTTGGTCAGAACTGTCTCAGAGTCCCTCTCAGCAACCAATTGTGATTCTGCCCCATTATAAGCAGCTCTTGCACCTGGACTACATTTATGCTCTTCATTCTCGGGGCTAGAAACATTTTTACTTGCAGCAGACTTCTCTTTTTCTTGTCCTTCAACTGCCAAGTCTCTGCCAGAAGAACCAGACAAATCTCTGAATGGAGTTTCAACTTCAAGTGGAGCTACCTCCTTGTCAGTCATTCCCAACTCCTCACATACTATGTGTGTTTTCACTTCAATTGTGGATTGACTGGTTTTAGGTTCTTTGAGTTCAGAATCAGAAATTCCATCTGTTACATCAGATTCTTTCTTCCCTTTTTCTTCAACAGCCACATCTATCGACGGAAAATTTTCAGACTTACCTACTGCAGCATTCTCAGCTGTAACATCCTTGTCAGTCATTCCCGACTCCTCACATATTGTATGTGTCTTCACTTCAATTGTGGTTTGACTGGTTTTAGGTTCTTTGAGTTCAGAATCAGAAATTTCATATGTTACATCAGATTCTTTCTTCCCTTTTTCTTCAACAGCAACATCTATTGATGGAAAATTTTCAGACTTCCCTACTGCAGCATTCTTGGCTATAACATCCCCTGTAGCAACCTCCACATGGATTTCTATGTTTTGTTTGGAAACCAAATGAGACTCCGCTGCTATTTCACAAGTTACATCTGCAGCTTTCGGTTGAGATTCATTAAGTTCATTATTTAAAGTTGAAAAATCTTCAGTTGGATCAGATGTTTGGTTCTTTGGTCCTTGATGTGCAGGATCTTGAATACTCAAATTCTCAGAGACAGCTGGTTGGGGCTCAACAGCTGTAGCATCAGGTAAAGTAATCTTCTTGTTCATTGTCTCAGAGTCTTGTTCCGCAACCAACTGTAACTCTGACCCAATTTGATATGTTCCACCAGGTTGAGCTTCATTTAGCTCAGAATTTGATTCTGAAGCATCTCTAGTGGCATCAAATGCTTTGTTACCTTGTACTTCAATTGCATGGTCTAGGACATGCAAATGCTCAGACCCTTCTATCAGAAGTTCATCAGCTGTTACCTCCCCTGATACTACTGACTTGTTATACATCCTTCCTATATTTTCTACAACAGCAGATTGTGATTCCACCTCATTTTTTGATGTTGAAGTATCTCCTGTGGCATCAGTTTCCTTACTCTCTTGTCCTTCAACAGTAAGATCTCGGATTGCCATATCCTCGGACTTTTCTGCCACCTGACCTGCATCTTCTGAGCCATCATTTATCTTCCCTGTGTTCTCTTCGGCAACTAACTCCAGATCTGCCACCTTTTTAGATGTTCCAGCAATTGTGCTGGATAGATGTTTATTTAATTCACCATTTAAAACATCAACCTTATCCTCAGCTCTTTTGCTCTCATGAGTCTCAACAGACAAACCATCGTGACACTGACCGTCAGCTTTCTCTGTTTGCCGCAGTACAATATCATCAACTTCATCTGAAGCAGACTCCTCACAAATGTTAGTTCTCATATCTTCCACCACAACCTGTTCTAATTCTGGGTGATTCTCAGATGACCCATCAGCTGGACAGAGTTGAGACACATCAACTTCAGAATTAGAAAGATCATCCTTTACATCAAAACTCAAGTTACCCTGTAATTCAGCTACGTAATTTGTGTCATGACGGCTGGCAAACGTTTCTGTTAGAGCCTCAACAGGTTCAGCATTTGAAGCAAGCTTAGGTGAAAGGGATTCCTTCTGGGCACCAGATTCTGTGCTGGGAGAAGTCTCTACAAAATCAACATGTGTCATGTCAGATTCACAAACCTCAGGTGTGACAGAATAGATTTGCTTCTGTTTTTCAAACTCTATCAGATTCATTATCTAAACTAGATAAAGAATAGTCCTTACCGGAAATACTGGGATGCAAGTTTGCTTCAGCAATTGCTTGTCGTTCAGGTTCACTTTGAGATGTTCCAACAGTGAAACTGGATTGGGACTCATTTCTAGGGCTTGGCGCAACCTCACTTACATCAGAATCTTTCATTTCGGGACTGTGTGCTGCAAGATCACTTCCACATTCTTCTGTTAGGGATTCAGCAACATTAACTTGCTCCTCAAAAGTTCTTTGAGATGTTCCAACAGTAAAACTGGATTCGGACTCATTTCTAGGGCTTGGTGCAACCTCACTTACATCAGAATCTTTCATTTCTGGACCATGTGCTGCAAGATCTTTTCCACATTCTTCTGTTAGGGATTCAGCAACATTAACTTGCTTCTCAAAAGTTTCTGGAATCCTATATTTTTCTTTCTCCCCCCTACTTAAACCTTTAGTTGTCTCCAATGACACGTTAACTGATAACTTATCTTGTTCACAAACCTCGGCCATTGCACCTTTATCGGAATGTGTTCCTTCTGCTGTTTTTTCAAGTTTGTCCTTGGCTGGTTCATAAGATCCACATACTGGAGGTTCATCCACTAAAGATTCTGCCTCAGTAGATGGAGAAGTAAATGATGCGATTCCCTTCATATTCAGATTGTCAGTCTCCACAGCAGGTGAAACAACAGTCTCCTCCATGGTGTCTCCGGTTTCCTGTTCTTTTCCAAGTATGCCACCAGCGAGATGCTCAGTGCTGGCTGCCTCAGCTTTAGAAACAAATGATTTATCCAGAGGAAGATCCTCAGTCTGTAACTGTTCAACATCAGTTTTTGCAGACACACTCTCAGACAGGCTTTGAGTTGATCCCGAATTAAAACTTACTTTCCCGGAGCCTACGGAACCCAGATATACCTCTGTCTCTGTGCTTGGACGGGGAACTAACTCAGAACTTGTGGGAAGGACCCCGCTTAAACTGCTGCTAGTTTTCCCTTCTGCATCTCCACTCTTGTTCAGATCGTCAGATGATGTAAGCTCCAAAGCTCCAATGGGAACTTCCATGTTTGACCCATCTATAGAATTAGTCTCAGTCTTTTCACCATCGTCACCCTTAGAATTACCTTCACTCTTTTCAACCGGGCAATCAGTAACCGGAGCCATTGATCCTGAAGAGGCAAGAGTGACATGGGATTGAGATGCATCTGTTTGTATAGCATCACACTGTGGCAGAACTTCATTACTCACTATATCTTCAGGCATCTTCCCAACAGAGTGAACTGAAGGTGTCTGAGATGCAGCTGACTGAACCTTCATTGTTTGTTGATCCTCAGTGAGAACTTCCTTTGTCGTGGAAACCTCACAACCTATATCTTCAGGCATTTTCCCAACAGAGTGAACTGAAGGTGTCTGAGATGCAGCTGACTGAACCTTCATTGTTTGTTGACCCTCACTAAGAACTTCCTTTGTCGTGGCAACTTCACAGCTAGGAACATCGCCACTGGCTTGTGATTCATCGGATTTGATAGAATTGCTATGTAGCTCAACTTCACAACACGCCATAGCTTGAGGGATTTGTCCTGTGCCAGGATATGGAATCTTTTGAGAAGCATCTAACTGGACAATAGCTGTTTGTTCCTGCACTTCCAGGAGAACCTCGTTAGTCATAGCAGTTTAATAGTTTATAATAGAAGTATCAACCTACCAGCAGATATACCAACCTGGGAAGGAGAATCATCAGAGTTGACCGTGTTAATCTGCGGCTCAACATGAGGACTAGAGCAACTTTTAGATGTAACAGATTGGACCACATTCTCCTTTTGCTGAGCATCATCGAGAGGATCTTCAGCAGTAGCAACGTCACCATTTAGATTATCACCCATTTGACTAGGAACCGGAATAGCATGGGATTGAGATGCATCTCTGTTGATTGCACTGTTATGTGGATTAACTTCACTAGAAACCATATTCTTAGAAATTTCCCCACCAGCAAAATCTGGAGTCTTTTGAGATGCAACCGATTGGTCTACTACTTGTTGAGATTCATTCTCACGCTTGCTTCTTGTAGTGGGCTTCCTCCCAACGGATAACCTGGTTCTCTTTTGTGGGGGTTCAATTAATCTTGGATCCTGAGCACTTAACCCTTCAGTAACAGCTGCAGTGACCAAATCCTGTCTCTTCCCCCTGCGCCGTGATGCCTCACTTCCAGTTTGAGCCTTGCGTCCTCGTCCTCTACCTGGCTTAGGTGCAGTGGGAGGAGTACTATACTGTGAAACTGATGAAATCACAGGCAATGGTGGAACTGGATCAGAAGTATGAGCAGTTACTACACCAGATTCTTGTTGACAAGTGCTCTTCAAGTTAGAAGAATCACATACAGAATTATGACCTGAAATAGAAGAAGAGCAGGACAATGTCATCCTATCTGATCCATAATCTAATTTGCCTGCTGCATTAGATGCTAAAAGAAGAGGAGTAAGTGCAGATGTATTTGTACCTATGCTGGAAGAGGGTGCAACAGCAGGAAGAGGGCAAACTGAACTTAGTTCCACGCAAGCAGACGATGATGCAGGAACAAGAGTAGGTACAACTGAATTGGAGTCCTTTGAAGTTAATGAATGAAGAGGAACAGGTGACACAGAACTCGTTTCCTTGCCAGCTGAAGGTGAACTATGAGGAACTACTGAAATTGAATTCACCTGCAGAGTAGCTTCGGTCTGGGCAGCAGAGAGGGAAAGATGGTCTGAATGGTTTCTGGAGGATGATTGAAGGACACCTGGAGGTGAAATTGAACTAGGGTCCTGACTGGCAGCAGATGATGGAATAACAGAAACAGTCGAAACAGGGGTTAATTCTTTGCTAGAGGAAGATGCTGCAAGAGGCACAACCGAATTCAGTTCCTTACTAGCATCTCTCATGGAAACAGGAGCATGACCAAGGTTTTTTGAACCCAAACCTGCCACCACCTGTGGCACCAGATCAGGCTCACCCACTGCAGGAGGTGTTGGGGGCATATGGTGAGTAGAACTCATATCATTCACACCTTGCGCTGCAGAGACAGGCTCACTTACTGCTTGAGTTGGAGGGGTGGGGAAAGCCTCTGCTGTAACATTCTGTTGTTTTCCTCTACGCCCTGGAGCTTCTCCTCCAGTTTGAGGCTTTCGACCTCGACCTCGGCCTCGGCCTCTACCTCGGCCCCTTCCCTGTCCACTTGTAGGAGGGCAAGGAGGACCAGACTGAGAAACAACAGCAACAGAAGGTACAATTGACTGATGGCTGGGAGCAACACCAGTTACATTCTGTAGGATGGTTGCGCTGGTACTTTCTATGGAAGAAGCACAAGGAAAAGACACAGAAACAGGCCCAGAAGTTGCCTGACTAGTAGAAGTATTTTCTGCAATGGTATTGCTATCCACCTTTACACTAGCTGCAATTGCTGAAATAACGACAGGGGACGGTGAAATTTCAGTCACTATTGCTGTCCTCCTTGGTCTTCCCCGGCCCCGTTTAGATGGCGGAGTCACAGTCACAGGGCTTTGTTGAACTATGGGTCCAACATGTTGTTGGGGAAGTTCTTGCACAGGCTGTTGAGAAAGTTCTTGCACAGGCTGCTGGAGAGGAGGCTGATACGGTGCTGGGGTTTGTATTTCACTTTTGGCAACAACAGGGTCAGGACAAGTGCCAGAGGCTGAAGGGGAATTCTTTTCTTGAATTTCTTCCTTTAGACTAGGTGATTGAGGAGACTCAGCAAGGCACATTTTCTCAAATTCCTCTTCAGTCCATTGCTCTTCATACGAACGAACCTAAGGAAGCACAAGAATTAAAATGAACAAACTAGTGAATAACAAATTATTTTATTATAAGAACTGAAAAAAGATATGGCTGCAAGTTCTGCAGTCTCCAAAAGTATAACCAACCTCTCTTGCTCTTTTTCCACGTCCATAATGTTGGATATCAAGACCCCCAAGACTCTGACCCTTCCTTTTTAACCCAGGGCTAGGAGCCACAACTGGCTTATCAGATATTTTCATTGCTTCATAGAATGGTTTCAAGTCATCATCAGTAAGAAGTCGAGAGGGCAAAGGAGGAATGAGTTCTGAACTTTGTGTTCCACTTTCTAAGCATAACTTCTTCCAGATTTCCTGCATTTTTATGCTTGAATTAGAAAAATAATGATGAACTAATTGGGTGGTAACTGTTCAGCTAGATTAGCAGGATTTCGTTCAGAAAATGAGAGAATTAAATAGCCTTGGGATAAAGTATTGACATGATTACCATCTCTTCTTCACGCCTTCTCCTGTCAACTGATTCAAATATATCAATCTCTGGCTCACTGCATGTAGGGAGTTAGAGATATGAGAGTTATGCACTTGATGGCGAATCTCACCAAATAGTTCTTGTAAATTCATGTTAAATACATTAGAAACACAGCATCGGTGCTATAGAATAAAAATGAATTGATGACTAGTCAGTAACCTCCGGCCCTCAACAACAAAAGAAAAAGAAAAAATAGAGGGGAGGCGAGAGGGAGGGGGGGACCAAATGCTAGTCAGCACTGAGCTTCAAATGCTGTTATTTCTGATTAATGAAATATTGGTACAAGAAGTGATGTGGCTTTGACATGCAGTTTCAGTACCATGCTACCTCGAGCTATGTTGCTCGGACTCTCCAAAAATGTTGCCGGACCCGTGTTGGATCCTCCGAAAATGCGGTACTTTGGAAGGATCCAACATGCATCAGTCAGCGCTTGAAGAGTCCGAGGAACATATGCCTGGAGTGAACTAGATAAAACCATCACACGGCGTGCTTTGTTATTCTGATGTAAGAAATGTCATATTGCACAAGTCATTGGAAATAATTTTAAGATAATCAATGAATTTACAGCAGAATAAGAGCACCTTTGCCGCTTCTATTTTACCTTCGTGCTATAAGATCATTCAAAGAATCATCATCAAGAACAGGTGCATCTTCCTCTTTTTTGCTTTCTCGCAAGAGGGCCTCCAAGTACTCCCTTCGGTCTTCCGCACTACATCCAAGTTAAAATACGTTTATAAGCACAATACATTCACCAAAGTAGTCAAAGGTTGACCAGAATTTCCAAATCTTCCTTCAAAAAACCTTGTGTTATTATCAAAGAATCCAGCAGTAATGCTTTGGTTAGCAACTCCAAGTTTATGCTCAGCAGCAGCTCTTACTTGTTCCTCAACAGTTTGGACCTAATTTTAACAAGGTAGTAGAAATGCATAAATTAGACATACCATAGGTGCAAATTGCAATGAATATTTGGATCAAGAAACTAACGACAGTATTTGATACATAAATGTGGCAACAATTAATGCAATGAGAAGCTTTATAAAGAAACTCTCGATGATCATTCAATGTCCAAGATAATCAGAACATATAGTTCTGAAGAAACCAAAAAAACCATCAGCTCTGATCTTTCAGGAATTCAGTGACAGTATTTGATACATAAATTGTTGCAACAATTATTTATGTTATTATTATAAATTGTACCAACAATTAATACGACATGAAGCATCATTGAGAAACTCTCGACGATCATTAAATGTTCAAGATCATCAGAACATATAGTTCTGAAGAAACCAAAAACCCATCAACTTTGCTCTATCAGGAAACCAAAAAGAATGCTGCAATTAATGAAGTAAGGTTCACCAGAATTTTTCATTGCTTTCATAAGAAGAATATTCACTTAACTAAATAATGATTGTCTAAAGACTACACAGTACACACTCAATTGTTTTTGAAATGGTGATTGCACACTTAATTGTTTTACCTGATCGCAGAAAGAAGGCAAAAAAGAAAAACGAACTGTATATTTGGCAACTTAGAGAACATGCTTTTCCATATTTTATTGTCTTTTCCTTCTCTGCAGCAGGCTAATGTGGATCCCATGGACATTTATCAAAATTCCGGCAAAGCTTTTCAAGCTACACATTGGGTTCTAAAAGCTAAGACTGGGTTCTCCTCATTGCCAAAAAGACTGTTGCCTCCCGTTTTTTTTTTTGGTTTGAACAGCTTAGTGTTATATGTAAAAGAACCAGCACTAAGAGAGTGCTGTCATTACATCCAAAAAGGAAGAAAGGTAAAAAGAAAAGGGATGCCCTGAATGTCTATACAAAAGCTTCTAAAAGCTGCAAAAGGGATTCACCGTCACTAGCCAACTCCAATTTACATAAAAAAGACAACATCCATGATGCAATCAGACTCAACTTCTAAACAGAGCTTTCTTGTCCTCAACATATATTTCTCTTTCCAGATACACCACCATATGCAGGCAGGTACGGTGTCCCCCCAGAAAAAAAGGACAGTTTCCTCTTAACCCAGAGTAGAAATGAAAGGAAGTACTACAGTATAATACAATAACGGATTAACGGAACTAAAAGAAGACTGGTTTCATCTACAAACATGCAAGAAACAAAAAACAAAAGGTATTTTACTAAAATTATGCCAAGTTTCTACATCTATCCTTGAAACATAATAATCACTAGATTGACTACAAAATCTTATCCCGCTAGGCACAAGAGGGAGCATTGTTTCAGTCACTAGAGTCTAGACTGGAGAATGAAGATTTCATGGGACACCGGACATGCATGTGTTAGTATCTAGAAATGACAGGAATAACGAGCTAAAGATACATCTTGAGAAATAGTGAGCTAACAATGCTAATTACAGTAAATAAATCAGAATGACCCATCTGATCCGCATAACAGGAGGCCACAGTCATAACAAAGCAGATTTAATACTAATTTTACAGCATGAACAACCAGCAGTGTGCACAAATAAAAGCATGAAACTGCAAATGCATGAACAGACAAGAAGTCAAAAGGCATTTACTGTTTCTAATCGAAGAACAAGAACATCCTTCTTTTGACCTATCCTATGAGCCCTTGCTTGTGCTTGAAGATCAACCTAAATGCAGCAAACCAAGAGAGCAATAAGTGAAAGCCACATAATCAAAATATAAAAGATCCTCAAAAGAGTAAGTTTGAGCTTTTGCCTGAGGATTCCAATCTGTGTCAAAAATTATAACTGTATCAGCAGCTTGAAGATTTACTCCAACACCTCCAGCACGAATACTGGCACCATTTTAGAATGGATCAGTCTTAAGAGAAAATGTTTACATGAATGAAGAATGCAGAGAAAAAAGAACAAGAATGTCAAAACATGTCCTACAAACAACCCACTCGTTCTTTATTTCCAAGAAAAGATAAAACCCTACTCTCATTATCCCAGTATACGCAATGTTCCAGCTTGGAACATCGTCTATGACACTGTATTCTATACTTTTTGTTTTGACAAGGTAACAGACTGTAAATAGATCATCAATGCAAAGTGTTGGAAGCCAAAATTACGTTATTGAATCTACATCGAAAAGAGTAAAACAATAACTAACACTAAATCCTATTTCATCTTACAAGGATCCTAGGATGTCTACTATAGAAACTGGGTCATCTATATACTCTGAGCTGCACCAAACCAATAACAAAAACTTATAATGCAAATTCATTTTTAAGTTTTGCAGAGAGCTGCTATTGCCTTCAAAGCACCTAGAGTTTCTCTCTTTCCAAATGGTCCATCATAATGCTGGGAAAATTCTCCATCTGTTTATGTTAGTGCTACCACCGCCCTCAAAATTCCAGCTAGTTAGTGCCTCCCCTGTTCTTCCCGGCAATAGTCTACCTTATGCCTCTGAAGCTGGTAAATAGATTCCAAAGCTGGCTAACCACTTTACAATCAGGAAACAAATGGTTAATTGTCTCTGCATTATGCTCACAATAATAACATCTGGAGCACATATGCTTTCCCTCTTCTGTAGATTCTCCTGAGTTAAAACAGCTTCTTCCAAGACCAAGCAAGTGAAAATAGTGTATGGAATTTTTACTTTCCCCATAAACTTCCAAGGTAAAAATCTGATCTGAGAACCCATCTGATTCAGTCCTTATAGGTAGAGCTTACAGTAAAAATGCACCTTAAGAGTGTCTTCTCCTTCCTGTAGCCCCTTGCACTGGTCTAGAGTGCCATAAAAGTTGGCCAATCTTTCCATCTCCCAGTCTTGCATCAATTTTCTATAGGTCAAGTTCTAACCTTGATTTGGCCCTAAGTTGCTCAGACTCTTCACTTTTGGTGCCGCACCCATGTCGACATGACATGGGTGTGGGATCCGTGTCCGATTTGGTCAACGGATTTTAGGTACTTTAACCAAAATCGATGGGGAAAGTCTAGACAATTTTTATGATTCCTATAATCAATACTAAAGTTAAGGTGAAATTGAAGAAAATTGAATACCTTTTATATAGAAATTTCTATGTCACTCCTTTTCCTTTAATCTCTTTCCAGGATTCTCCTCGAGTTCTCCACATAATATCTCATAATTTAGGTTTTATAACTCTTTTTTAGATATTTTAATTATTTTAAGGTGAATCCCCGCACCCGTATCCATACATGGATCCATATCCCCGAATCTTAAAAATTAGATCATGAAGGATCCGCACACGTATCGAACACCCGCACCCAAGTCCGAGCAACTTAGAATTTTGGCCACACTTACTGTAAAGTGGAATCCTGTTGCTGATTTAAAATATAAATTTCATGGAATAGTTGCTTAAGACTTCCATTCCCTGTCCAGTTATCTTCCCAGAACAAGATCCTCTAACCATCTGTCACATTAAAACTAGTTCTTGCAAAGAATACATGTCACAGGTTCCTGATTGATCTCCACAAACTTGTTCCATATGTAGTGTTTACTTCTTTTGTCCTCCAAAACCTTCCTTTTCATACGTAACTTGTATCACAGTGCCCCATAAAGAGTACTCTTCCTTAGGTAGTCTCCTTAGCCATTCTTCATCAGGAAACTTCTGTTCTGCTTTCTCAGATTTCTGATTCCCAGCCCTCCATCATTCCTAGCCAGAATTAAGGTATTCCATTTGACTAAATGATAGCCTTTTTCCTCCTCTCCTTGCTTCAGAAAATTCCTCTTAACAGCATCGACTCTTCCCTCTACATTAGCGGGAAGAGTAAATAATGACATCAAATAAGTAGGTTAGGCATCTAATACAGAGTTGATCAGGACCAATCTACCACCCCGAGACAAGTATTATGGTTTCCATCAAGTCAATCTTTTTTCACATCTTTCCATGATATCATTCTTTCGCATCTATCAGATCCATAAAATAATTAATACTTGGAAGATAATGTGATGCAAACCTCATCACACTAACTTCTCATTCGCTATAACATTTTCTCTGATTCTACCGAAACAATATGCAAATCAAATTAACTTATCAAACCCCATTGTAATCAAACTAAATCGCAAGTAAAGGGACAACATAGTAATATTCAGTTAGATTTAGAAATGGAGTTCGGAACTAGAAACTATACATTTTGAACACTCAGTTAATCTTCATTGTGATATAATAGGACTTTAACCTATTGTCTGCAAATGTTGGAATCAACAGCAGTGGAGTAAACTTTATTAGTTTATTTTGGTGGTTAATGAAGTTTCTTTTTCTTTTGGTATCAAAACTCACAGAAAATTAAAATTAAGTTTTCGGCAAATTTTCAATTTTGCAAATCTTCATTGTGATCATGGTAAGGACAAAATGAATGATTATTGAGAAGACTACATCCTTTAAACCCAACAAACTTTGAATCTAAGGCAATTCTAAGTTAGTCATTTACCTCAACAGAAATATAAAGAAGGGAGAATTAGGCTGATTGAATTTATCAATAAGGGCACCTCTGTCACCCCCACACGTATGTCCATCCAAGCGAAGGTACTTATATTGCTTCCAGCAGAGATAATCTTCCATTACATCAAGCAGCCTGGTCATTGTTGAGAAAAGCAAGACCTGCAAAATGACCAAAAAAGAACATGATCAAGAAGGAATATATCTCGTGTCTTTATTCTCTTTGACGCCTCATCTCTCAAAAGGATTTTGATCAACAAAATAGCAAGCATCAGAATCCTCTCAAATGACAATTGAAGTCAAGGTGCCAGGTAAATACTTTATAAATGGCAAAAACAAGATCAACCGCTACAGAACAAGGAGAAAGAAAGGATTATAAGGCCAAATAAAACCAGCTATTAAGAAGGCTTAACAGTACATGAATATGCACAACCTCAAAGAGTGATCTAGAAATAATAAAGATTTTCTTCAAAAAACAATTTTGAAATGCAAACACGCTATTTTGTACCCGGTGATCTGTTGCCTTAAGTTTAGGCAGTAATCTGTCCAACATCTCAAGCTTCCCACAAAGTCTCACAAAGGTTGGCAGATAATGCTTAGGAACTAGCTCATGAACCTGACATATAAAACATAATAATTAGACAACCAAAAGGCGACAACTTGCCACCTTCAGCAATTCTGAAGATAAAAGACGAGTACAAAATACATGTTCTCTTAAGAAGCAACACGTGCATGAAATTGTCCAGTTATACCTTCTCTTCACATCAATTTTAAAATCATAAAGATATACGAATAGAAGAGGGAGAAGCAAACCTCCTCCACATGAAGCTGGCTAAGATACGGATGATTGCAAATGTTGCGCAGCTCCATAACAGAATTGTGGACTGACCGAGCCTAGAAGGAAGAGTGTGAAGGGTAAGAGCTAAGAACACAATACCTGAGTAAGCATCTTTTCTTTTCTTTTATGATAAATGAAAAGAATCTGTTTCATAATATGCACCAATGACTATGAATAAGCATATATGTTCATTTCTAACTGCAGGACTACTAGTGGACATTGAACCTCATATAACTAAGGAAATTAATAACATAAAAGAAACACAATTACCGAATAAATGGTCCGAATACTTTTGGACACTCACATAAACATATACAAGCACAATTCTTTTTTATATACATATATGAGCTGCAATAGATGTTATGCTTAATTTTTCTCAAAAAAGAATTAAATGATATTTCCAAGCATGAATCATTGAACTCAAATAACAGCAGAGAGGCTAAACCTTTGAAGTTCCGAATGCACCAAGGTTGTCTTCCACTCGCTTCATCAAAAGCTTCTGATACGAAGAAGCTTCACATCTAACCAGTCTTTCAATCTTTGAAGGCAATTCATTCTCAACCTAAGATACGCATTTGAAAAGACAGAGGCATAAGCTCTCAACACTGTCAATAATTGAATGCTAGAAGAATCTTAGGAAGAAACTTTTGATCAGACGACGAATCTAGACAAGTTAGATAGCATATGGCAGCATATACTGTATGAAGTTATTGTTTGTTTCCTGGCACTATCAAAAATCTGAAAGACTGGAATAACCAACAGACTATCCATCCTCTTAGCGACATAAGTAACAAACTCTGAGCAAATATATCTAAATTTTCACCATGTGTTCTATAAGACTCATCACCAGTTATGGTTATGAAATATGGGGAAGAAAATGATTCATTTCAACTATACAAGATAATAAATAAGAAGTCGTCACAAGTGTGAAAAATAGTGGGAGGATGTACAGGGTTCCCCATGACTGTGGGTTCACACAGGATCTTCCCTGAGCCCGTAATATTCACCAAGTTATGGATGAGTTAACTAAATAGTATGCAAAATGAGGTTCTATAGAGCATGTTACTTGGAGATGAAATTGTGTTAATGAATGAATTAGTGAGAGAGCCATCAATAGCTTGAGCCAAGGAAAATATTGTGGGGAGTAAGAATTTTAGACAAGTAAAATCAGAACAGAATATATGCACTATAAGTTTAGCCATTACAAAGGGGGTAAAACTTTGGTATTTTTTGCTTCTGTAAATAATGTTCAGCTGTTACAGCACATCTTTTGAGCTTGTTTCTATATAACATTATCTTACCTTTTTCAAAGAAGAAAATTATTCATTACAAGAGGAATAAAATTTAAAAGAAAGACTACTGAATGATAGTGTCTAAATGCAGAAAATTTGAAGTTTCTAGCTTTAGTGTCACCAAGAGAATGCTATTAGTCGTGTTTCATCCTGGTTGTGGTGTAATTTTATCTTGTTGAATAACTTTGAACTAGCAACTAACAAGGATGAAACCAGAAATATTAGCTGTGAATTGGATTTTCATTTTTGACTTTTGAAATCATGTTACTAGTCTATGTTGTATGGTGCCCAGCCAAGAACTATCGGAGATGAAAGTTGTGGAAATGAGAATCCCACGATGGATGCTTGGGCATACTAGGAGATATAGGATTAGAAATGAAGATCTTCGTGGCAGGTGGGAGTGGCCTAGGTAGAAGACAAGATGCGAGGAAGCGAGGCTTTAGTGTCACCTAGCTGAGATGGTCCAGGCACGTGAAAAGGGGAGGCATGGATGCGGAGGTGCGAGAGGTTAGTAATGGATGGTGTCAGGAGAGGTAGAGGTAAGCCTAAGAAGTATTGGGGAGAGGTGATTCGATTGGACATGTCACGTTTTCAGGTTACCAAACACATGACCATATAGATAGGAGATTGTGGAAGACAAGGATTAGAGTTGAAGGTTAGTAGGTAGTTGAGAGTTGTTTCACTACCCCTTCTCACGAGTTGTCATAGTATTGCTGTTGTAGTTCAATATTTGTTACTATATGTTGTTTCTTCTACTTCGATAATCGTATTATTTTGTTGTAGTTACTGCTCCCTTGAATATTTTGTCATGCTTTCTACAATTTTTTTGTCACGGCATCTTCACTTCCATTATTTCCTTTTCCAAACTGCTTTCATTTGTTTTTCATTGAGTCAAGGGTCTACTGGAAACAACCTCTCTTCCTCCCAAGGTCTGTGTACACTCTACCCTTCTCAGACCCCACTTGTAGGACTACACTAGGTATATTGTTGTTGTTGTATTGGTGGGGCATCAATAAAAGCTTATGATTAAGAAAAAAAAAGCACAATAAGCATCGTTCAATGATAGAATTTGATACATATAGCATGAGGTTTGACAACCAATTGAATAGGGGAAGTGCATACTACGGATGAAAAGATATACCTTGTGTTTCAATCTCCTAAGAACAAATGGACGCAAAACTTGGTGCAGACGGTTAATGATCAAAAGATTTTCCTCCTCTGAGAGCAAAGCCTAACAGCAGGAAAAGCAGATTAATCAGATCAACAAAGTACTAGAAATAACTCAAGCAACAATGAAGTCGTACTTCAGAGTGGAAATTGTAAGAAGCATACTTCATCAGGTGAGCTGTCACCGCTCTCAAATGGCTTGTTAAACCATTGTGAGAAGTCTTCTGATGAATTGAAGATATTTGGCAAAAGGAAGTTAAGTAGTGCCCAGAGCTCCTCAAGATTGTTCTACATAAACAGAATAATGTATACATTCAGATCACATCAGCACCAGAAGAAACAAAACAATAAGTAGTACATCATGCTTATATGTCATGTAAGAATATGAAAGAAATTAAAAATCCCATAAGACAATATAAACCTGAAGAGGAGTGCCCGTCAACAGTAACCTATGATTACTGCGGTAGTGCTTCAGATCAGCATTCAACTTGCAAGAAGCATTTTTTATGCGATGCCCTTCATCAATTATGATATAGTGCCAATGCACTTTACTTAGTTTTGGTCTATCATGTTTGTTCATTAAATACTCATATGTCGTCAAAAGAACATTGAACTTTTGATGAACAATTCTTTCCCTGCAATGACAAGTTACCCAATAATTACAGCATGAATGCAATGGAAGTAATGAAACAATAATAGAATTTCTAGACAACAGTATGAAATAATTGATATGGCGTACTTGAAAAGCTTCCTCCGCTCTTCTGGTGGTCCAGAATAAACTATCTTGAGCATATCTGGTGCCCAAAAGTTTATCTCTGACTCCCATCCGGATAGGACAGAGGATGGCACTACCACCAGAAAAGGTCCTCTGTCATTTTTGGTTTCCATCAGGTAACACATAAGGGATATAACCTACAAAGTTGTCTTCGTGAGATCCTCCAAATATTCACGAGTAAATAACTTTGAAATTAAAGTTAACTCTAAAGGAGAAATAGAGAAACTTTCTAAACTAGGGATCAAGAAAAAATAACCATTAAAGCAATTACATATTAATGTACCTGAACAGTTTTACCGAGGCCCATTTCATCAGCTAAAATTCCATTCAAATGGTTATTGTAGAGTGAAACCAACCATCGCAATCCATTCATTTGGTACCTGAAAGAAAAGTCAAGATTAAACGTACTCTAGGAGCAGGAAATAGGAAATATCTCCTGAGTAGAAAATTAATTAATAAAAATGCACTCACAAAGATAGATAGGCAATGACAACTAATTCTGAAATGAAAAACTTACCCCCGTAATTTTCCACCTTTGAGAGAACTAGGCTGCTCTGCGATGGTCTCCTGTACACTGCAGAAAATACATTTAGTTATTTAGTGTCTCAGCCAGAGAGATTGAATACTGACACTGAACAGATGACAAAGTTGAATCAGCCATATCAAACAGCTATTAATAGAACCCAAGAATGGGAAGGATGCTAAGCCTCAAAAAGAATGTAGATTCAAATAAAAGATTGAAGGATCTATAGCATCAAGTCCTCCAAGACCATGTAAGAGACTATATGCAGGAATTACCTATGTGCCATCAAATAGTATTTTTCATTGCTTTCCAAGTAATGCTGCATACAAAATAAAACGTATAAGAAAATCAGGAAATGACACAGATGAGCATAGAACAGCAGCATCCCAGTTAGCAATATGTGCATTTAACCATATAAGACAATTTCTGAAAGAACCTTAGCCTGGTCTGTTTCATCCGCATCACCAAAGTCAATTTCATCCTCCTCAACCACACCTGAGTTTCTATTGTCACCCATGTCGGTCTCGAATTTTCTTGCAATTGATTTGGCCTCCTTTAATTTGGATCCAAGCTTTTGGAGGTACTTTTCCGTCTCTTTTAGTAGTTTGTTAACACGATCCGACTTTGCATCCTAGAAGCAGAATGAAAGTAATCATCAAGATAAGTGGAACAAAGTGCAGTCCTGGCAGAGAAATTAGACATGCCATACCTGAACCATTCGAAGGTATCCCTCAACATCATTGATTTTCAGTAAATTAATCTTCTCACGTTGGATCCTGTCAATCTTCTCACGATGTATCCGTTCCTTCCTTTTATGGAACTCCTTCGCACCCTTATTGAAACCTTTCCAGCGTTCTCTCTTCATTTTGAATACATCTTCCAATCTTTCCCTGGAGTTCAGAATAATTCAAAGAAAACAAAAATAAGAAAATCAGAAAAGAAGTCATTAATCTTTCACTGTTAAAGGAGCAAAGTCATATGATTAACCCTAAGGATGAAAGTAAGTGCATACCTATGAACTTCAATCTCACTGAAAAACTCCTTCTGTCTCTCACGAAATCTCTTTTGACGTTCCTCCTTCATTCTTTGTTCATATCTTTCAAATTGCTTTGATTTCCTCCCAATTCTGTGCTTCTTGATTGATTTTAAACGCTCCATGTCAGTTGCTACTGGCTTGAAAAAATCATAGAGAATTTCACTGCCAAAAGATTGACACAAGGTCACAAGAATTGGACAGATAATGTGAAACAATAAAGGGTGATGTGACTTGAAAGAACCTAAAAAGTTGCAAGCGATATTAATAAACTTGGCTACCAGAAACCCTCAGGGGTTGGCCTGCTGGCAATTGACTTGAGCCTTGGGGTTTGCTCCCTTTCAAGGTCTCAAGTTCGAAACCCACTAGGTGCAAACAATTTCTGAGGGCCATCGGACTGGGTAAAACCTGAATTAACCGTGGTGCACTTGCGGGAAACTCCTTGCCGAGGGCCTGTGCACCCCCGGGATTAGTCGGGGCTCAAAGAGACTCGGACACCCGGTGCAAATCAAAAAAAATAAACTTGGCTACCAGAGGTAAGAACAGGAGTGCGAGACCACCAGTTTTAAGAAATACATGCTTCCCAGAGAACTACCAAAGTCTATCTGTAGATACAAGAATATGTTCATATACTGCAATTATGACATGCATTTTAACACCAGCTTAAGAAGAAGCACCAACGCTCCAGAGAACCACCGGAGACTGTATAATACAAGAACATGTTCACATACTATGACAATGTATACACCTACTGGTTTATTTGTCAAGAGTGTTTTTTCTTCTGAAGATATGATTTTTAAGAAGTATAGTTTGATTAATATTCTCCCCGGCACAATTATCGAGGAAAAGTCTCAGCCCTGTTGGTCTTTCTCTCTCTCCCCCTCCCTTTCCGGTAATCCTTCTGATCGCTGGAATTTTTCTCCTCTTTCTTTCTTTCTTTCTTCTTTTGACAGAGCAAAGATGGACAACAGCATTTATTTTGTGGTAGGCTTCAAGGCCTACGACATCACGAGAACAGTTGGAATGGTGAGGGAATGGTAAAACTGAGCAGAAAGAAACAGAAATTCTACGAGAACAACGTTTAATGTGGAGACTCTGGGATGGATTACTCAGGTCTTCCAAGAAACATCCCGGACAAATGGGAATATGGTGAAGCGGTGGAAGAAAAAAGATGTCTTCTCAGAAGTGTTCTACTCTAGGAACTATAACAAAATGTGAGAGGCGAAGGAGGGCAGTTATTATCATCCCTGAATTGACGTTTAATTTAGGAAGGATAAATATTGCGGAAAAAGTGGGGAGATTTATCAATAGCCACAGGAATGTGGTTAACTTTGGGAAACACAAGTTGGTGGACAGAACATTCCTTATGCTGAGATGCTTAAGAGTACTAAATGGGCTAATAAAGGGTGTAAAGAATCAGAGGCAGAGAAGATAATAAAGCAGGGGGATAGAATATGCATTAATGACAGCCCAGAGGAGTGCAGTGAAGTTTCAAAGAGCTTTTGAGGCTAAAATCGGTGAGACACCAACTTTATCAGAAATCAGGGGATGGGCTAATAAATTGTGGAAGCAAGCACATGAATTGAACATCTATGAGATGGCCTACTTCCTATTTGAGTTTGATCCCAGGTCCACGGGAAAGCAAGTAGCCAAAGGAGATTGGGACTGGAAGAACTCTCCAGTAACTCTTTAATGGTGGAATCTGACAAGAGGTACAGCTAGTGGGAGGAGAAAACCTAGCTCTACTTGGGTTAGAATTGTTGGTCTACCACTACAATTTTGGGACCAGAAAGTCTTCAAGGCCATTGGAGACCATTGTGGTGGCTGGGTAGACACAGAAGAGGAGACACAAGTAAGAAATCATCTCAAATAGGCAAGTAGTCAAGGGCTGGTCAAGCGGGAGAAGATTTTATCCAGCAGTCGCGAGATAAAACTGCTGGATAAAGAGGAGGAGCCTCTTTTAAGCAGACCAGCAGCAGACAGCGCAGCTGTCACAACACGTGTTGATGCAGAGGGCACGTGGGGAGGCCAGCAGATCTTTAAATGAAAAGGTGGCCATAGCTCTCTCAATATTGAACAAAACCCAACTTCCAATTTGAGCCAAAAATATATTAGCACTTCTGATCATGTCAAGAAAAAGAAAATTATGGCATGTGTGGGGCAGGGGGGGGAAGGCTTTTAGAAGGGCTAAGTGGTTTAAAGGAGTTGACAACTCAGTTCTTAGCAGCTGGGAATCATCGCCCATGGAGGAAAACATCGAACCTTCTGTTTCTCTCAAGGCAAAAATTCCAACAACCAACAAGGGGATTCATAACCAATTATCACAGAAGACAGTAAGGGTGGCCAAACAAAAGAAATTGGGGAGGGATCAGGGATACAAAAGACTCCAAATGTAGACATGTGGGTACAACAAACTCACGATGTTGACATTAGCCACTCAAAATCCAGGGAACCAACTGATAGCGAGATTGAAGCATCCAGCTGGGTTAATTCTCATATTTTGGAGTTGACCATGACATACAGAGTAGCTTTTGACGGTTTCAGGGGAACACATGCATTATTGATGAGACTTGGTGAAAGGAAAGCTGTGATGGAGAGAAAGGGGGCAGATAGCTCATAGCACAGTGTCAACACCTAGACACAGAGGTATTGGCAAAGAATGAATTGAAGAACTTACAGTCCAGCCTGAATGAGGAAGTGGAAGGAGTGAGGAACAGAGAGAGAGCTCTTACTCTGACACTCAAATGAAAGTAAAAATATTGTCTAGTAATGTTGAATCTTGTTAAGAGATCTTGATTGAAATGGAGGGCTGATGTTTATTGCTTGCAAGAGACAAAAGTGAGTAAGGACGTGGAGGGTGTTGCCAAACAACTTTGGTCCTGTAGATGGATGAGGTGTGGGTATATTGAAGTTGATGGTAGTAGACATGCGTAAGACTGACAAAAGCATGCCCCACAACTGAGTAGTAACTCTACAACGCAAAAGAAGTAGCCAACATCCTCAGAGTGCTCTTCACACATGGGGAACCTACTACAAAGCTGAATTTTCCTCTTTCGAAGGTTGGAATGAGTGAGGCAAGCCTCTCTAGCCACAATCTAAGAGAAGCAAGAGACCTTCAAAGATGCCTAGCTGAGCCAAAAAAAAATTCCAAGGCCAAAAAACCCTGTTGTTACTTAAATCCAGCTCTGTGTAGCAGCTTCTGACCATAAAGAGACCTTCGGGATGGTCCTTCCATCTAATAGAATCAGCTTTGTTGCAGCCCAACACTCTGTTGCTTAGCAGCTGAAGCAAGAGACATACTAGTTCTAGTTCCCAATCATTTGCATTCCTTCTAAGAAAGAGAGTCCACCCTTATTGTTGAATAAAATTTTGCAATTACTACATTGTGTTGAGAGTTGGTATTCTAAAAATATCTGAGAACTACTCTTTAAGAGTATTGTGGCCCAACCATGCATCTTCCCAATAGTAGTACTTTTTTATAATTTCATTTGATCCTTAATTAAAATGATTAATAGATCAAACTTCTTAGATTAGCTAGCTTAATTACCTTTAATCAATTAGACTTGTTTCCCATGAAAAAAGAACTGGGTTTCAAGAAACGATTCCTTTTACTAATATGATTTGCTTGTTTGTGTTGGGTTACATTTTGACCCGTCGGGTTGCAGTACTTTGACCCATTTTGACCCAATTGTTTGATGGGTCATTTCTAATTCAACCCGTTGGGTCAACTTAAACAAATGGGTAATGACCCAACCCGTATACAGAGTGAGCGGGTTGGGGATGATTAGCCACCCCTAAATCTAGATATGCATAAAAAGTAAGTAAGCCAAGACTGATTACCTCCGTAAACGACGCTGCAGCTCCAGCAATTGAAGCTTTTTCAGCTCAATGACACTTTTTGTTTTTGCAGAGATATCCTCAGAGGAGCTCACAGATTCCTGCCACATAAATGAAGACGAGTATTTATCACATGCGAGCGATTTTAACCGGGATGTAAGAGTCATTGTCAAATAAATCAGGTTGTAGCAATCTACGGACATTAAAGATGCTTATAATAGTTCTCACATGTGTATCACACGCTGGAAGAACATATCATCAAATGGTTTGTGTTGATTGGAGGATATTGTTGATAGAAAAGCTCAATAATGGGAGAATAGAATATGTTATTCCATTGTATTTTATTGTATTGATTCTCTTTCCTTAATTAGTCATAGGACTCCATGTATAAGTACCCAATTCTCATGGGATGTAGAAATATCCAAAAATACAAGCAAGTCTACTTCTCAAAAATCTTCGGGTCTAAAGCATCAAAAATAGCTTATGCAAAGGTTTAATGAAATCCTTTTTTTAGGGGATAAAGTAAGTCATAGACGCATTCAAGATCCATAAAGAAAAGACCTATGCAACATTAAAGCCATTGATGCCAGCTTCAATTGCTTATTATCTTGGCATCAATGACATCATTTTGCGCTCATTATGCAGTTTAATTTAACATTTTGCAGCTAAGGTAGAAAAATGACCAACTAAACAGTTTTTCTTCATCTGCACAGCCTACACAGTTGGCAGTTGATTTGACCATTTCAAAATGGAATTAAGAAACAATTGAGAATCTCTGGAATTTTTGATGAAGAGTAACTTTGTATATATCCAATGCAGTGCTTAGGCAATGAAGGATATAAATAACTTTGGTTCTCAAAGTGCACAGTAGAAAAAGGAATATATGTTGTTCTAATAGCATCAAAACTCCTGAGCAAATGGCATAACATGAGAAGATTCGGAAAGTTTTATTGCTCTACTTAAAAACTGCACCAGCTAAATCACTAGTTCCATTGACAAGGTAAGAGCTGACACCCCACCCCACCCACCCCTCCAAAAAAAGAAGTGTATACACTGCTTATGCATCTTGGTGGTTTAGGTGAATGAAAGTTCTAGTCAAGCCAAAGAAGAAATCCTGACATAACATGAGGATTCTATGAGTCCTGAACATTGAGCAAACAGTACATTTAATTACCTGCCACCCCACCCCACCCCAGCCCTCCAAAAAAAAGAAGTGTATACACTGCTTATGCATCTTGGTGGTTTTAGGTGAATGAAAGTTCTAGTCAAGCCAAAGAAGAAATCCTGACATAACATGAGGATTCTATGAGTCCTGAACATTGAGCAAACAGTACATTCAATTACCGTAAACTCACCCACCCCCCCACCCAATGACGGAAACAAAGCCAATTGAATTCTTTCCCACCTGGAAGTGCAGACCACCTTTTGAAAATATAAGTAAATAGGATCTTTTTAAGAAAAATAATTGTGGTGTCGGAACCAGCTTGCGCGCATCTCAACTAATTACATCGGATACCTGCTACTTCTCACCAGCACAAGTCCCAGGTAACTCTGTTCACCATAGCTTAGATAGATGGGAAGATATCACCTAGTGTCTTCACCTCTGCTGGAATTTGAACCTGAGACCTCATGGTTCTCAACCCTCTTCATTGACCACTAAGCCAGTCACACCCTAGATGAATAGATAGAATCTTATGATCTTATCTACAAGTACAAACTCTCATGAAGAAGCTAATATGGAATCAAGTTCCACCAGAAGTAAGCCTTAAGACAGTACCCAATCTAATCAGTATCAACAAAGCTCACCCCAAAATTCAGTCTACATGAAATTCTGATAAGAGCATTGCATCTCATAAGGAAGAAGGATTTTCAATAACAAACCTTCAACTTCTCAGCAGAAGCAGCAATTCTTTCATCTGTTTTTTGCTGTTTTTTCGACCATTTCTGTTCACTAATAAGCTTCCTTTTCCGTTGATCCAGAATCCATTTCTCCAGCATTGTATGCCTTGGAGATGATAACCTATCTGTGGATGCTGAAATATTATCATCCTCTTGATCTGTTTCTTGCACTGTAAATGAACTTGGTGCACAGATGTTAGAACTTAATGTGCAGATGTTAGAACAATAACTAATCATACAAAGAGAAATATGTATGTACACTCAGCACACAGGAACATCAATCCCATGGACGAGATTTGACCATACCATAATGGCAAAGAAAAAGAAAAGCAAGAAAAACAAAGGTGGAATCTGCATCTGTGCATGGAAGTTATAACAGAAGTTCGTTTTACTTAGATCCCCAAAGCTAAAACCAAATCCAAATAAAAGGGGGAAAGGTGATCTTTCGTAAGGAAATAGATAAGAGGTGAAATTCTTATATTATTCAGACCTTGAGACAGATTTTTCAGCGTTATATTTGAATCCTTCACTTGCATCATTGTAGGACTTTGATTAATTACTCCAGGAACAGATTTCCACTGTTGCCTCAAGGGTAAACTAGGCAAGTTACTATCAGCATGTCGATTTCCTTGAGCATTGCTATCAACAAGATTTTGAGAATAACCAGTATGATTATCTCTCACTAGCAGACCCGATCCATGGGTATTGGCAGAGGCAGGTGGTGATACCTTTGAAGCGTCAGTTCCACTCCTACCACTCAGATCAGGCTTCATTTGCTTGCTTGTGCCCATAACAGAGGAAGCTTGAGGAAACATTCCAAGTTGTTCAGTATTTGCAGGAGCATTCTCATGATTATAGGGAGGAAAGGATTTCGGATCAGTCGGAACTCCTCTAAGAGCAGATGCCTGTGATTCTGTAGCATCCTGGATGGACATTTCAGCATCCTGAATCATTCTCATTTTTCTTTGAGGTCTCCTTTCGTCAGCATGCTCAGAAGGATCAAGCTGACCATTTTTATCTTCCATCAAGTTTGCATTCTCAGCCTCCATTGACGAATTTGTATCAGTAAGAATTCCAGAAGGTGTAGGACCAGAAGAAAGCCTGTCAGTTTCGCCAGCTCCTCCAAATGTCCGTGTGACTTCAGATGCACTGCCTTGGTCAGTAACCAGTTGCTCCCTTCCTTTATGGTCAACCAATTCTCTGCGATCTATAGAACACCATATATTAGCACATGACACAGATTATATAACATTTGAATCAGAGCAAGAAAAAAATAGAGCTATTAAGCAGCAGATACCTTCTTTCGGATAGAAGTTTCCAAGTGCAATTTCAAGATGAAGCTTCTTTGGCATTAAACCATTCCTACAAGTGAGGAGATATTGAAAACTGTGGCAGCCGGAAGCAAAAACTTCTTTGCATAATGACAAACACTAGAATCTAACTCATTATCCTACATACCTAAAAGCCAAAAACACAAGACATTGTGCCCTAAGCTGTTTCAAATGATGTTCTTTGAAAGGCATGGTAGATACAGGAGCCTGAGCAGCAACAGACAACATCCCTGCATCTCTGATTGTTTCACTTCTAAGTATACTCTTCTCTGGGACATTGTTGGGCATGCCCCCCTGTTAACACATACAAATTAAGGCAAAGATGAAGCACAGAGAAAATGGATACTGCTGAAAAAGAAAACCAACTAAATACTATCACTTAATCTATTGTGTTCCTCAAAATCGAGAAGCCTAAACATAGTAAAAGGATCTCTGTTCTATGCAGTCCAACTCAAGCAATAATTGGAAAGAAGATCATAACTCCCCCAACTTGAAAAGCTAAGGAAAGGATTCCTAACAACTACAAGAGACAAGAATAATGAAGTTCAGTGTTTTGGAGATCCTTCTATTGGTGCTCACAGCATGCCAGTGATAATAATAAAGATAAGTGTTTACACTAGTTAACCAAATGTTGTAATCCTCGATCTGGAAATCTTCTCCTAATCTTAGGAACTTGTATTGATGATGAAAATGCAACTAAATAAATTATAAAACAGATGTTACATGTGAAGATACACGAAAAAAATCATGTTATCCTGGCCCTTTAATTTTGCCTAGACTTCTGTATTAGCTGGTTCCAAATCATCATTTGTTACCTAGTTAAAGGAGCAATTTGGTAAACCATAACAGTATCCCCAGTTAAGACAAGGTATAACCAAATATCTATATGTAGACTGGCCTTTGGCAGGAGTGCTCACTGTTTTCTATGATAGTGCTTGATATCGGGACACTCAGTACTTCAACTAGTCTCCATATTCCTCCGATGGATCTCTTTTTTTTATATAATGCTAACATTCTATATATTAACAGGTATACTTTACCAACTGTATAGTCCCCCAAAATAGACATTACAAAATAGAGGAAACCTTCCCGTCTATGTTCCTTCTTACATGTGGTCTAAAACATCAAAAATATCTTCAGTTTCTACTTTAAAATCCTGTTTACACCAAAACTAACAAAATTAATAAAGGGGTATACAATTTTCAACTTCTGGATATTGCATTGCTTATCCTCATAACACCTCTGATTTCTCTCTCCACACAGACCACCATATACATGCTGGGACAATCCACCATCTCTCCTTCTGGTGGGATTAAATTCCCACTCTGGCCCAACTGTCTAGTACCTCCTTCATATTTCCTGGCATCACTCATCTGATCCCCACCTCAAATTAATGAAGATTTTCCAAATCTGATTAGTCCAATTGCAATGTAAAAAGAGATGGTCGGTTGTGTCTGCATGTTCCCCACATAGATAACATATGAACATAATTCCCACTGTCAGGAATCAAATCACATAAAATGACCAGCATTACAGTAGTCAGTTCTTCTAATAACACTGCATGTGAAGCATGGCATATCTAAGAACCCTCCTCCCTTAACCTTAACTATCAGGAAAAAAAGTAAAGGAGTTTCCAGTCACTTAAGTACTGGGCCAAAGTTGCAAGTAGAGCAGCTATTAGTAGTAACCAAATGCAGAAACAATGTGAATCCTTCATCAAAAGTAACCACTTACCTTTTTAATCAATACAATAAACGTAGACTTGTTTATGTCAAATCAAGATAGAATGTCTTAAACATAGTAATTATCAGATGACACATTTACAAAACTGTTCAACAACCAACAACCCATTATAAGGAAAGAAGGAAAATAAGTACCTGACTGATCTTGCTAGCATTTCCTAACATATTAGATCCTCCTTCATGCTCTAGTGCTCTTCCCGCTGCAGTTCTGCCAACAACAAGATCAGCCGAGGTGGGACCAGAGAAAGGTTCTGTGCTTCCATCTTTGTGCAATTTTGCAGCATAACCATGATTATCAATTGAAGGACTTCCAAACTGCATTGGACTTGAAATTCCTGCCTCTACTGGCTGAGATGAATTAGAAGCAGGAGGCGCCATTACAGGAAGTTTGACACCTGTACCTGAATTAGAGTAGCACTTTACGACATTAAACTACCCTGAATGTACAACTAGTTTTCATGTCTCCTGATAGGGGAAATTTTGCACTCAGCTCAACAGGCGATATCAACATTGCTCCTACACTTAGAATGGCCAGTGCTAATGACATAACAAACATTCATGAAAGCGAAAGAGTATTGTCAAAATGAAAATCGAAAAAAAAGAAAGAAGGGTGAGATAAACAAATAAAGAGCTAACTTTCTTTAAACTTTATTTGTTATTATGTAAGATTAAAAGGACTGGGGAAGACAGGTGAATTATAAAGGAGGTTAAGATAGGGGCAAGTCAAGGGCCCATCGGGATTGGGCATGAACAAGTCTCAACTGGGCTAGCATTGATGAAAATAGAAAATCCCCCCCCCCCCCAAGCATCATTAACCAATGTCAAATTCAAGATCAGGTTCAGGATTCAAGTCAAATCAAGTAAAACTCTAGAAACACTCCGGAGAAATTTCCTTTGGGATGAAACATATGGAACCAGGCAATATACTTATAGTAAGATAACTGATTAGGGGCTGTCACATCCCCGAAAAAATGGGATGGGCTTGAGTGACTCAGAGTGAAAGACCTCAAGGAGTTCAACAAAGTTCTGCTAGAAAAATGGACATGAAGATTTGGGATGGAGGAGCACGTTTTTAAGGGTAGTGATGGCAGAAAAGTATGGTGCTGTCAAGTGCCAAGGGGGAATGGAGGACTAGAAAGATCAACTTTCCATTCAGGCGTAACCTTTCTTTTTGATAAGGTAAGAGATTTTATTAAATGGTACCAAGAAGGTACAGGAGAAGAAACAAAACACCATAAAACAAAAGGCAGCCTCCTACCCTCTTCTTCCAAGCATATCCAATAAATCCATATACTGATTCAAACTATTTATTAAACTAATGTGAGTATCCTTCCCTTCAAAGCAAGCTTTGTTCCTCTCTAACAAAATTGTCCAAAAGATGCACAGAGGGATGCAAAGATTTCCATTCGGGCATAGACTTTGGAGGTGCATTTATGAAGGAATGCAAAGACTTCAGCGGCCACGTTACTGAAGCAAAATAAGCTTTTGCATGATAGGTGGTGTAGAGAGAACATGCTGAAAATTACTTGCCTAATGTACAAGTATAAAGAGTCTCGAGCAAGATAGTATTGGTGGTGCAAGTACATGACGGGTGCTTTTCTTTTTTTTGTTACATTGGGATCTCACATTAAAGAGAAACTTGCAATATTTGGGAAATGGGTCAATAGCAGAACCTAGTAGGATTACCATATAAACAGGAACACATTGCAAATGAATGAGATGAGGGAGATGGGGAGAGATGGACAATTCTCAGTAGAATCATACTACCAAAAACTATTGATGAGATTGTGCAGGATGAAATGGTGTTCCTGCATCTCATGATTTGGCTACCAGAGTGGCCAAAAGAGTGTGCTTCTTTGTGTACTTGACATAAAAGGAAGGAAGAGGAAGATCACGTATGTGTCAGTTGGTGCTATATGTATAGATGTTCAAGAGAAGATGTAGATCGCCTCTTATTACATTGTCAAGTAGCTACTACATTTGGTGGAAGTTCTGAATTGGTTTAGAATACAGTAGGTCATTCCAACTACAATAAAATTGGCATTATGTAGCTGGATTTCTAGAAGGGAGAGAAGACTCTGGGCACAACAGATAGCCCCACTAGCTCTTATGTGGGTAATATGAAGGAAGACAAATAGGAGAGATTTTTAAGTGATCGAAAATGTTTTTGTACATGTGGAGAATATCATGTCTCTGATTTCATTTTAGTGTACTATGAGATTCTTTTTTGGATTAATGATTGAGTGGCACTTTTTAATAAATAGCTAGGTAAAAGGTCTTTTGTGGAAAACCACATTTTAACCTAGGTTTCTCTACTTTTTGCTATACCACTTATATTATCGGGAAGATGAAAAGAAATCACCTAGTGTTTTCGTCTCCGCTAGGATTTGAGCTTGAGACCTCTTGGTTCTCCTCCCACTTCGTTAACCACACCCTTGGGTGCTGCACTCACTCACTCCTTATGCAAAATAGGAACCCGTCCAACAACTTAAATATTGTTGACTCTCAAGTTCCAATTTATCTACAAAATCAAGGCTTCAATAGTAAGCCACCCTGATTTTTTTGAGTAAAAGATGTGTTCACACTTGCGTACACCACTACACATCAACTAATCCACCAAATACATGCTCCCTCCCACAACATAAGTATCTAGTAACTCCATCCACCAAAGCTTAGACATATAGGAAGAATTCAACTAGTGTTGCATTTCTAATATTCATTTTGTGGTTCTCGAAGTTGTACCCCAACTTTTTGACCACCAAGCCATCCTTTGGGAGTAGGACTGTTACTTGATATTGTGTCATACATCAAAGTGGTTTAATAACATGATCAAGAAATAGCATTAAATTGCTTACAAACCAAGCTACTACAAACCTTTGGCGACAAGACATGGTTATCTGTTGTTTCATTTTCTTCTCCTTCCTAAATTTTATGTAGAAAATGCACAGTTCCAAATGCATATTGGCCATCTACATATGTTTTATCAAAATGTAATCTTCTTTTTTGTTCGGTGAATATTTTAGTTTCCCCAACACTAGACAATATGAGTGATTTGCCATGCTTGCAAGTTGCAAGTTAGCAGACAAATCGTTGTACTTACCACTTATGTGGGGTGCAGATGCTTGATAAATACCATGTCCGCTGCCGCTTGGACCGCTAACCATCTCATTTCCCAGAAAATTTGCTTTAGAGTCTCTAGTAACCCCTGGCCTCTGTGAAGATCCTGCAATAACACTCGATTCGTAAAATATAAAAATAGCCAGCAAGACATGGCTTGGACTTCTTGCCAATACATATTAGTGAAGTGCATTAAAGTGCAACAAGTATCATTCTACCAGCTACTTGTGATGATGCAGCTTCTCCTGCTTGTGTTGCAGCAGACACAGGAAGACGCGAGGACATTAAAGCCTCAATGTCAAGACCATGTTGCTTGACGACAGTCTCCATTGCCCTTGAATCAACAAAAGAGAAATTAGGGAAGTCAAGAAAACTGTAACAGTACAGCATGTCAGAGATGAGTATCGAGAACTCTGAACTATATCACAATCAATATTTAGTAGCTTCTAGCGTCAGCCAGCCAACCACAGCACTAGGATGCATTTTTGTTAATCCAGGAGGCATAGTATCATGGGCAACTACCATTATACTGTGACAGTTATACTTTCCCATCGTAGCTGGAAAGTACAATAATATAATGATTGAAAAAACAATTATTGAACAGAAAGATGATTGACAAAGGGGTAGGGACCATAAAGGCGGGAAATATGCAATAAATTCTATGATGCTCTAAATATATGGATGGAGTTTAAGACACTATACCTTGATATTACTTGATAAGGCATTGAGCTCTCCTTCCCGCTGGATCTCATATGTTGTAAAATCTGAGTCATGAGTAGTACAACTTAATACAGGTAAATAACTAGAATTTTGGAAAACATACAACATAAGAGATGTATACACACCACATAAAGCTTTGTAGCCAATTTAGTCGGCTCATCCTTAGACTCTTGAATAAGCTTGTGCAGAAACTTTGCTGCCTCCAGCTCAACATTATTTGGATTGGTCATCTTCTTGCTCAAACTACACAGAATTGCAAAGTAAAATCTAGCAAATCATAACTAATATCAAAGCCCCCATGACTTTGTAGCAACATCAAATCCAACACCATAAAGAAAGAGAACAAACAAAGAGCACAAAATATTCAATTCCAACTTCCACTCAATTGCAAAATTTCAAAAGAATAACTCAAAGCATCTTGTCACCATTAGTTCGTACTTCATAGTACACAATTACTAAACAAGCAACTAATAAAGGAGCTAACGGCTTTCGAGAGCAAGCCCATTGTCTAAGCTCAGGTACTTAAGTTCATCCTTCTCATATCCATCTAGGCCAATGGCTTGTCAAGAAAATACTCGAGTATCCGAATCTCATTTCCTCCAGTACAAAAGTGGACAGACAGGTGAAATCACATGAGAAGAACCTCTTAGTGGAGTTCACTCCCCGGGAAGACTGAATAGCACTTCTTAGTGATTGCTATGGATTCATCAATAACAAAAGAGTGAAAGCAACAAGTACACCAATGTGGTGGTCATACCAAGGAGTCCCAGACAAGGGAGGAAACCACCACCAAAGCCCTCCCCCTAACCTCTCCAATTTTAACTTTCAACCTTCAATTCAGAAATTTTCCAGGAAAAAGAATCCAGTCCCTTCTAAACCAAACTAAGCTTTTAGGTAAAAAATTCCATTTGACCCTCTTCTACACAAGTCATCATCATCACTCCTCATAAATCCTTCCTCCAATGTTCAATTACACAGTAAAGCCCCATAACCTACAACCAATCTCCATTCTTAAACAAGAAACTAGTCATTCTAGAATCACTCTACACCCAAAAAGGGTAAGGAAAGAAGAACCCTATTTATAACAACCACAGTTAGGTTTCCAAATGAAGCTAAACATAAATGACAAATCTATCATCAGTTACAATCTACTCCAATTACAAGCCACTGACGGTTCCAACTAGCAAAGATCAATTTTTTTTCACAGAAAAAGTGTTAATAAAACAAAAAACAGCGGTGACATACGAGAATTTTGGAAACAAGTAAGAGAATTAGGGTTTTTTACCTGATCGCAGCTTGAGGAATCAACCAGATGAACTAGGCAAAGCTACATGTATATCGAAAAAAGTACAAAGAGAACACGAACACTCTCGAAAAATCAATTCTCCTGAGTAATTTTTTTGAGCTTTGTGACTCTTCGATTGATAGATGAATGAAATTTCAGCTTAACATTTTTCTGAAGTGCTTTTATAGTAAAAAAGGGCTTTGGGATTGTGAAGATTGAAGAGTTCCAGTTTCGGTCTTTCTATTATTTCCTTTTTTCGTCCCTGTAACCTCTTCCCTATTTAGTTTAGCCCCGGAAAGAATTAAGAACCACCAATTTCAACTTTCAAGTATTTCTTGGAGTCTGATTATTTCGAATTTGGGTCGTGTAGGGTCTTATTCGGGAGAAGCGCTCATATCAAGGATTTTTTCATATTCACGATTTGAACCCGAGACCTTTAATTAAGGGAGTAACAGTCTCATCCACTGCACCACATCATTTGGTGATGTGTTGATAACATGCTATGTTGGAAACATTGCAAATATGCCCTTTTTTTTAATTGATCTGTATTTTTTTAATGTTTATCTTGTCTTTTTGAAATTAAGAAAAGTTTAGTTTGGTTTAGAAGGGACTGGATTCATTTTCCTGGAAAATTTCTGAATTGAAGGTTGAAAGTTAAAATTGGAGAGGTTAGGGGGGTGGTTTGGTTGTGGTTTCCTCCTTTGTCTGGGACTCCTTGGTTTGACTGCCACATTGGTGTACTTGTTGCTTTCACTCTTTTGTTATTGATGAATCATAGCAATCACTAAGAAGTGCTATTCAGTCTTCCTAGGGAGTGGACTCCACTAAGAGGTTCTTCTCATGTGATTTCACCTGTCTGTCCATTTTGGTACGGAGGAAATGAGATTCGAATACTCAAGTATTTTCTTGACAAGCCATTGGCCTAGATGGATATGAGAAGGATGCACTTAAATACCTGAGCTTATACAATGGGCTTGCTCTCGAAAGTCGTTATCTCCTTTATTAGTTGCTTGTTTTAGTAATTGTGTACTATGATGTAGAACTAATGGTGACAAGATGCTTTGAGTTATAACTAGCCTGACTCGTCTATGAAACCTTTAACATATTGAAGACAGGTTACCATGACAAGATCTAGATTACTTGAATACTCTGCTAACAATATATACCAACTATTAATACTCAAGATAAATTAGAGCCCTCTAAAAGTAAGAAAGTCTTCCAATGTTAGATGAAATCATTCTTAATTATCTGCTTGTTCTCATGAGTATCTGAATCTGCATCATAAAACGATGCAGCGTCGAATAGCACCAGTACATGAAATGTACAGTATGTAAACTAGTTGAGTGAAACAAGTGTCTAAAATTAAACATACTGAGCTTAAATAAGTAAACATAGATTGAAACAAGGGCAACAGAATAGTAAAACATGCATGAGTGCTTTAATAACAAAAATTTAAAATTGAATATATATACAGTAATAGCAACTACTAAAAATAATATAATTGTACTTTTCTTGGGGAGTTTCTCTAACCGACAACCATCACTTTGAGCATCGTGATTATACAACGTCTTGCTCATGTTGCTAAAGTCAGACTATACATTTCCAGAGTAAAAGGTTAATTGAACTAGTGGATCCAATCTTTGAGTCCTTACTGGGCTTTTTAAGAAGTTGTATGAATCAACAACACAAAACTATCATACGTTAGTGGCACAACTATGGGGTTTGAATTATTTGAATCCTTACCCAACTCGATGCTCAATACTAATCTCAAAATAATGCAATAATATTCAGTAACTATATGATATCCCATTTAGGGAAAAGGTTCCACTTTAGGTGAAAACTGAAAATCTGATACTTTAAGTCTATGCTCTATAATACTTCCTTAGAATTGAACTGAACTTTAAGACACTTGACTATGTTTTTCTAAAAATCTGGCTATGCTTTCTCAAATTTGAGATATGCTTTTTATAATGTTAAACATGATTTCTTTAAGAAATTGTTTATACTTTCTTTCTTTCTGAAAATATGTATCTTGATGAAATAATACATTTTCTTGAAACTCTTCTAAAATAATGCACTTGAATCAAAATATACTTTCTTGATTGAGGTCTTTCTGGAAAGACTACTTTAAAATTTTGAAACTTACTTTACTTATGAAAATAGTGCATATGAATTTCTATGACAAGGTTTTCAAGTAACTTTTAGCTAGAAAGGGTCCAAGTGGTATAATAAGCATGAACCATAAATCAAAGATCATCAATATTTCAAAGTACCATAATTTCGATAATAAAATCAAGAATCAACAATAGAAAAATAGAGTGAATTCAAAAATCATGGACTTTGGGGTAAAAATGTTGTCTTTGATCTTACTAACTAAAATGTAATGTTGGGCGTAAAGGACTATTTTCTCACTATGATAACTTTACATATCTAAACGCTCTGTAAATATTGAAAAAGAATCCTAACTTTATGAAGAACAATTAAGAAATCCTTTCTATAAATTTTTGGATTCATTTATTGAAAATCCTATGTTTTGAATTTTGATGGTAGATTCTTTCTTATGATATATAATTATATATATATTAGAATCACTTTAAAATTTTGAGAGTATGTTTACCTTGATTTAGAAGGAAGAACTTTTGATGGACTTGCTCAAAAATCAAGTTTTAAATTCTAGAATTGAGTTATTGATTTCACTAGAGATAGGAAGAGGATTTGATGTTAGAATCTTATAAGAATTCTAGGATTTATGTTGAAAGTTCATGAAGAAGACTTACCAAGACTTAGTAGAGTTGAAGAGAGCTTTTGGAGGCTGTTGTGGTCAACCAGGGGTGGAAGTGAGAAAAGAAACTCAAGATAGTGTTTTTTATGAAATCTAAAAAATATGATATACAATTGACATACGTGTGATATACATGATTTACAAACCTTTTACGACTCATAAGCATAGAATGATACACGGATCGTGGATTGAATCAATGGATTTCATATATAAATTTCCAATTTCTGATCCCAATCCACGAGCTAAATCCACGGCTCATGGTTGCTTTTGCAATCGGTGGTGGTCAGTTCTTATAACCTGAAGCAAAATTCTCAAATTGGAGCGTCTTTGGTAAAACGATCATAACTTTTTACACTGAACTTAGATTGATGCAAACTTAGTGGCATTAGAAAGAAGACTTATATAACTTTATTTGGCAGGTCATGAGTCACCTAACTCTTTATATTTAGAGATATATGGTCATTAAAAGTTGACTACAGAAATTGTGACATCTTGTTGAATTCTATGTGTTTGAATTTTTAGATCACATGTTGAGTTGTGGTTGTTGTAATCTATTATATCTAGTCCTCACTCTAAAACAATCAAATCTTTGCAACACTATTAGCTATGACATGTTGTAGACCAAATCTTTTTAAACTATGTACAAGTATTGATGTCTTTTAGTAAATTCTATTAACTTCTCAAAAGAGTTTTGAGTGTTAGCAACTATTATACTCTAGAAAATATTTTATCAATCATTGATCAATATTATTTGGTCTGGCCTTATTGCTCTTTGTAGTCACTTGTAGTGGAAGGGTATTACCTTTTTCCTTCTTATTTACACTTTTAAGGTTGGTAATTTATTTTGGTGATAAATCACTAGCCTTGCCTATTTGCTAAATATTCTCTTCAATGTTATTCTCCTCTTTTATATCTCTTATATGTGCTTAATATGTTCTTTGGTCATATCCTGCAATTCTACACCCTTCTATAAGTTTTATTTGGTATGATATTATGCAAGTGTGGGCATAATTATCCAAAAATTGAAAAATCAAATTGAATTGAATTAATTCGATTCATCGATTTTAGTTTTTTAGTTTGATATCGATGTTATTTTTTTTAAAAGTTTGTTTCTTCAATTTGATATTCGATGTAAGGGTCTCAGAATTTTGGTGCACCGAGGAATCAAATCAAGTTCAAATAGTTTATTCTTTGTCTTCAGCCCCTTCTCAGACTGACATTCGGGTGGTTTTAGATGTCAATTGTTTTCTTCCTTTCATACTATATAGTACTATTTACCCCTTCTATACCTATTTTTCTATTTTTGTTCCTTGAATATATTTGTGTGTCTTCTTTCCTTCGTTTATCTAATCAATACTAGCTTTTTCCTTTTGTTCTATGCTTGTGTTAGTGTTTTTTACTACATCTGAATTTTTTGTGGGTGTCTCTTTTGAGTTTTCTTTTCTTATCTTATCATCTTGTTTTTCTTCTTCTTCCAATGCTTTTGGAACTTCGGATGGATAACAAAACATTCAACCTCATTATGTTCCTATAGTTGCACTTTTTGCAATACTTTAGGATATAATCATATTTGACTTTTTCCTCATTTATATATGGCCTCTCTTGTACTTTGTTTTTTTATTCCTACATTTTTTTCTTTTTGGAAATTCCCTCAACAAGTCCACCTTCACCTTAACTTAGCACAACAACCATGTCAATCTTAAAGGTTTTCCAACTATTGAGGCTAGGGAGAAACTGATAAATTTGAAAAATATCATAGGTTAAGAGTGATCACTTAACTCTCTGTAAAGTCTTGAAATTTTTTTTTAGCTATTAGGCAATGAATATCAAGTTATAAATGTATCATGTAGATCACTCTCTTAATGGGGAGGAATATATAAAGAGGAGGAGTTATTTTAACCTAACAGAATCATCTTCTACAACTTAAATAATATTTCACAACCAACTTAAAAGGTGTCAATATTATTTAGGAAGCAATAGGCTGTCAGTTCTTACTATCCGAATACTAAGTTGATTTAGTTATTAATGATAAAGGCGTACCAAAAGAAATAAAAAATTATAATGGCATCTTAATATGTCTATCCGGCTCAAAACTTAATATTCATGAGCCATTTGACTTACTATTTAGATTTGTGTCTAGACTAAATAAATTATATAGTGCTTAATAGATCGTTACTAGCGCTAAACAAAATAAATAGCAGAAAAGAATAATTAACACATAATGATTTCATGTAAGCCTCTAAATAGAATTAGACCGATTAAGTATTTAAACATGCTTTAACTTATTATTAAGTTCCTATAGACGTGGTTTCTAATAGTGGAGTATCATTAAATTGAGCATGCTATCTAGAGGACG